TTGTGTACTTTGTGACTCAGTTTTTGATGTCCGAGATAATTTTTTAAAATAGCTAAAAGTTCACAAAATAGAAAAATTAAAACAAGAAGTTGCAGTCATTCTGCAATGATCTTATCGTGCAAGCCATGTTTGGATCTCCAGATGTTTATATTTCGTTTCCCTACATCCTCACCCAATATAGTCAAAGGGAACATATTATAAGAACTTCATAAAAAAAATCCCAAGCATTTTCTATATACCCATTTCCTAGTGAGAAGTCTTGAAAATATGTAGGGACAGTATTAAGAAAGCAGATAATTTAATTTTTCACCCTGTTATTGATAACTTTTTAAAAAGTGAAAGTAGGGTTTATTCCTTGAGGTTTTGTTTTTTTCGTATTGTGAAATACCAATCATGAAGCTCATGCCCCATTATTTTGACAAAAAAATCTGATTCAATGAAGGATGCCATCAGTGAAACAAGGAAGGAGATGACTTCTGTTAACGCACCATGCCCTTTGCCTACCACTTCCTTCACCTTTCTAAGTAGAGAGGAGGGTGGATTACCGTTCCCACTCTGTCAGCAGAGGGACACCAAGTGGCTACATTTCTTTGCTCAAGAGTTGAATCTGTTTTCTATCATCTGAGTCTCTTATTCACAAGACATCCAACACTCTATATATTCTGTCCAATTAGAATATGATCTATAACACATCTCTGTCTCTAAGGTTTTCCTAATCTTGCTTGGAGAATATGTTATACTCTCTGTCATCCTCCGCTCTCTTAGAAAATACTCTCTTTTGACCATGAAATGAAATTGCTATGAAACATTTATGGTGATGCTGAGAGCCCGTGTAGTGCTGTGGTTTGAGCATCAGACTATGAATCTGTGTTTGATTCCCCATTTGGCCACTGGGTAAGCTTGGCAAGTCACTTTCTGTCCTCAAACCCCTGATTCACCTTAGGATTCCATACATCAGAAATTCCTAGAAGACACACAACAACACAACTATTTGATAAGGCTGGTGCATTTTTTGTGTCTAGGATTTGTTATTCACCAAGTGCTCAGTAAGGCATTGTAAGTAGAGTTTCCATGGAAAGCAATTCTTCCTCCACTGCCTTTGTGCCAAATGTTATACACTTTCAAGTAAAGCTTAGGTAAACAATCATATCAAACAGTGATAGAAATAAGAGTTTTACAAAGAACCTAAATTATATAAAAAAAGTTTTAATCCACTGACCTTATTTAATTAAATGGGCAAATGTGCAATTTCATATTATTTCATTATATACATTGAATTAAAAATTCACACGCTTTTATAAAATAAAAAATTATATTTAAACTCTTTGGCATTAAGTAACTATAAAAGTAACCTCAGTTATAAAATGGTCTGTGAAATGCTGAGTGAGTGTCAGTTAGCAAACTCCATGGAGGCTTGAAAGAACACCATTAGGGTATAATTACATACATGTACATTCTGAATCCCCTCTAAATTCAATGGCCTCACACCATGGAAAGTATGTAGCACAGCAATCTGGTGTAAAATACCATTGCTGGAGTTTATGAACTATGCAGAGTCACTGATCTGAGTCCTTGTTTTGAAGCACCCTGTGATGTAAAGAAACTTCTGCATTGGGTTCAGCTACCTTAGCCTTGTCTTAAGCACACTTATATGGAAAAATGTCCTGCTGACACATATAGAAATTTTCCCCTTAAGAAAGAACACTGCATATTCCAGTACTGATTTCAATGAAACTAAACTACCTTGAAATAAGTGCATTAAATTACAGAAGTCTGCACAAATAATATGCATACTTTTCAGCAAGGTGATGTTCAGTAAGCATAGGGCCATGGTGGTGAAATAGATTAAACCCTTGTGCTGCTGAACTGCTGACCTGAAGGTTGGCAGTTTGAATCCCGCTGTTAGCCTAGCTCCTGCCAACCTAGCAGTTTGAAAACATGCAAATGTGAATAGATAAATAGGTACCGCTTTGGCAGGAAAGGTATAAGACACTCCAAGCAATCATGCCATTCACACAACCAGGAGGTGACAATGTAGGCTCCTTGGCTTGGAAATGGAGAACAGCACTTCCCCGGAGCCAGGGATGAGCACCACCTACAAAGCCAGAAATGAAAGGAGAAGCCTCTGCCTTTGTTTGTGTCTCTCATTGTATTGTAACAAGGCATTGAATGTTTGCCGGTATCTGTTTACACTGTAATTTGCTCTAAGTCCCCATTGGCAGAAGGGCGGAATATAAATAAAGTGTTGTTGTTATTATTAGTAGTAGTGTTATGATTATTATTATGATGTTCTGGAGTAAGTAAGATGCTATTTTTATAAATGAGTACAAAAATTCACATCTTGATAAATCCCACATGTGTGTGTGTGTTCCCTTTTTATGGAATCCATTACAAATCCATTTCTCCAGAATGGGGAAGGCACATTTATTTGACTCTAAATGTTTCAAGATCCAATTAGTTCTTACTTTGAACTTAACATAGTCACGGTAACATAATCAATCAGGTTGAAAACTCAGTTGTAAATCTGATTTAAAACACACACACAAGAACCACCTCTTTGAAAAATCCATCTCCTACAAATCAAGGCACCCAAAAATGGCTTAAGCAAACCATTCCTAGATAAAAGAATTTTGCTGGCCCACATTTTCCTGCCTCGCTAACCTTCAGCTTAAAAGATTACTGATATGCTTACTTAAAGGGTCTTAAAGTTTTAAATCCCCAGTTGAAATTGTGTGTGTGTATGACCCCAGAGAAGCAATGTTAGAAAAAGGGCAGCTAAGGAAAGCATTTTAATATTTCTACTGGGCTCTTTTTTGGAAATGATTTTAATAGGCTTTCAGGTTCCACCATTTCATCCATTAAGGCCTCCATTAGCAAAAGAAAAAAGAAAGAAAATAGTAAGGATGAGTGAGAGTCTTCTAAATGCCTGCCCAAAATTGTGTAGAAGATTTCAAAATTACGCCAGCAGAGCATAATTATCTTTAATTTCCAACTTTCAGGAGAAAAGTATGGATGTACATGGACTGAAAGGAATTTTTTGCTCTAAAATGTTGTCCGCTGAACTTGAGAATGTTTTTTTCTCATTTTCAAAAACCAGAGAGGGACTTGCACCTCCAACGCAGGACTTGCCACATTTCTTGACCCTTTGTTCAGAGTTCTGTATTCCCTTCTACAGCCACTAATTACTTCTAACCAATTCATTTGCACAGCTGTGAAAAATCCTGAGGCTGCACCAGAAAATTGCAGAGGCCAATAACTGATAGAATTGTGACATGTATCACAAGAACATTATAGATTTATTATAACCAATCCGTGTCACATTACTGTTAATTTTTTTTCAAGTTGAACAAATAAAATTCTGTTATTATGTTGGTAATTATCGTAGATTCGGGCGTCAACAGCATGCATATCACAGCACTCCTTAAGCAACAGGCATGAAAAAGGGTTGCACTTCTGGTAAATTTACTTTTCTCATAAATGATATTTTTCCCAAGTGAGTGATACAGAGTATTTTCTGAACTTATTATTGTTGTTCCTTGATATGCCTCTCAGTTTTATCTCTGTAGATTTGCAATTTCAATATTATTTCAGGAATGTTGCAAAGTCAGTGCTTGTCCATGGGAAAAAAAATATAACACAATGCTATTTAAATACATCCAAATATTTACTATATTTGTATACTGCTCTCCTCAGCCCTTGGGCGACTCAGAGCGGTTAACAATAGCAAATAGGTTTATCCTTCAGCCACTAACTTATCTCACTTAATTACAACATTAAACCCAGAGAGTTTTATAAGTCTTAATTGATGTGGGTGATTTTAAAGCAGAGTCCTCCGCTGTTAAAATAGCAAGTTTGGAGAAAGTCAGTTCTGTCTCATCTGTATTTCAGTCCACAGATTCTCAGTTTAGTTTGTTTGGGGGGAGGGACGTGTGTGTTATGCTCTTTCCATAAATACTTATTTATAGGAAATATTTTTTAGAAGTTATATATGGTCCCAAAGCAAGACCCTCTCACCTTTAGCCCCATGAGACATGGTAGCACAATGGTTAAAACTGCTAGCTGGAGGAAAAGCTGCAGACTGGAGGGTTAGCAGTTCAAAGCCACGGATTGGGGTGAGCTCCTGACTCACCCCAGCTTCTGCCTACCTAGCGGTTCGAAAGCATGCAATGCGAGTAGATCAACAGGTACCACTTCAGCGGAAAGGTAAAAGGGCTCTGCATGCAAACATGCCAGCAAAATGATTGGAGATGTCTATGGACAGCAAGAAAAATGGAACAAGAGCACCTCCCCATGGCCAGAGTTGAGGATCAGCTCCAGACACCAGAGATGAAAAGGGGAAGGCGTTTACCTTATCTTTGTATTATATGTCATTGTTCATTGTATAAAAGGCATTTAATATGTACTGTAATCCCCTCTAAATCCCTCCAGGGAGATAAAGCAGAATATAAATAAAGTGTTGTTGTTGTTGTTGTTGTTGTTGTTGTTGTTGTGCAATTCCTGGGTGCAATTTTATATGGTCTTATCACATTAATAAGACTTATCTTGAGGACTGAAACATCAGATTTCCATGTATACATTTTCTCATGATCAAGCATCACGGACTATGAGCTGCTAGAGTAAATAAACGGAGCTACTAATTCAACACATTTTCTTCTAACTCAAGGGAGAAAGTCTGTGTAATTAACTCTAATGAGATTAGATGAACTTGTTATTAATTTCCCTGAATGGTATAGAGCTCTGAAACGTCTTGTGCTGTTGTGCTATAGATTTGTTAACTTCTGGTAAGTAAACATCCGCATTTACCATTTAAAATGAAACTGTCAACAAACTACACGGATGAAAAGCAGCCTGTATTCAAATCTAGTCTACATTTGAAGCAAATTAAAGTCGGTCCAGAGATACACTTGAATTACCTAAAGAGCTGAAATAGACGGAGACAAGAATTCAAAGGCAAGAGCAGGCAGTGCATAATGAGAGGAGATGGCTATAATTTACCTCACCTGAACTTTGCTCCATTACTTCCTTCTGACACATGTCTTGGACATTCACGGTGCAATTCACTATAAACTCTGGGGACGAGCAGTCATTATTCAGCTGAAATTCCTCACACTGATAACACTGTATTTGCAAAGCAAACCCTAGAATAGAAAGAAATGTTATTAGGTTTGCATTAAAACATCTCCAAATACGGCACTCTCAGGCATATTTACATGGAGATAATTCAATTTATGGGGAAATGATTGAATCCTATAAAGAACTAGGAAGGAGGTGTGAATATGTTTAGGACTGATTTTTCTATACTCCTCTCCTTTACTTTTAATTCTGTGTTTGGCCTGGCTGTAGGCTCTTCAGTGAAGGCCACCATATCTTCTCCCAACAGCGCTGGCTATTTACAGAGGCAGCCCCCTCAAGGTATTATTTCTTTTTCCAATTCCTCAAAGGCTGTTTGGCTGCATCGGGCTCGACTGCATCCAGCAGAGGGCAGAAGGAACAGTAATGAACCAGGAACAAAATTGATCTGTTTCGCACAGCCACTCAGCCCTCTGCCTCTCCTCCTTCCAGAGCTCTTTCCAAAAGCACTAGGCTTCTTTTAAAAAAGCAAACAAACCGATGATGCAGAAAAGGAGGAGGGAGAAAGTGATGCTCCTAATAGATGCGCTCCGGAGGGTTTGTTTTTTTTTTTCCTCCTCCTGTGCCAAAGGGTTTACTTAACTACTAATTAATTGCAAATGATTTAATTACTGTTTTGCCATGCACAATTACAGCGGCAAAGGCATCCCATGCTCCCCGCTCCTTTATCATGTAAACCAATGGAAATGGAAGGGAAGGCCAGGGAATGCTGTTCTGTCTCCATCTGATGGAGCAACAGGACCTGGGCAACAGGAGGTGCATCTGCACTGGAGAATGAATGCAGTTTGGCACCACTTTAACTACCATGGCTCAAGGCTATGGAATCCTGGGAGTTGTAGTTTGGTTCCCTTTTGACAGAGAAGGATACAGACCTGGTCAAATAATAATAAACAATCATAAATCTTTATCTGTATCCCGCTTTTCTTCCACTAAGGAAAGAGTAAAACTATTCTTTTGCACTCCCGAGAGTCCACTGCTCTCAAAAGTCCATTGCATTGATTGATGGCTGTTAAAGTAGTGTTAAACTGTGTTTTTTCTAGTGTAGATGCACCCAATACCCCTCTGGAGCTCCTGCACCTCCCAAAACAAGCCCACAGTGGCACAATGGGTTAAATCCTTGTGCTGGCAGGACTGCTGACCAAAAGCTCAGCGGTTTGAATCTGAGGAAGCCTAAAGACCTAGTAAAGCTACAACCACCCCCAGCCCCAAAACATCCCACAGCAGTTCAAAGGCACGGGATAAAGTGGCCTCAAAGTGCCTGAATTCTACAGTGTGGATGGAGGCACACCTGGGCAACTAGGCTAGATGCCACTGAAAGAGCTCTTTGGCCACTGAGCCAGGCGGGTGGACAGCTCCTGGATGCAAAGAAGAAGCAAGGGAGGGAAAGAAAGAAGGCAGGAGGAAAGAAGGAAGGAAGGAAGGAAGGAAGGAGAGAGGGAGGAAGGAAGGAAGGAAGGAAGGAAGGGAGGGAGGGAGGGAGGGAGGGAGGGAAGAAAGGAAGGAAGGAAGGAAGGAAGGAAGGAAGGAAGGAAGGAAGAGAAAGGGGGAAGGAAGGAAGGAAGGAAGAAGGGGAAGGGAAGGAAAGGAGGAGGGGAGGGAGGAAGGAGGAAAAGGAAGGAAGGAAGGAAGGGAAGGAGGAAGGAAGGAAGAGAAGGAAGAAGTAAGAGGAAAGAAGGAAGGGAAGGAAGGAGTGAGGAAAGAGGGAGAAGAAGGAAGAAAGAGGGAGGGAGGAAGGAAGGAAGGAGCAAGGAGGGATGGAGGAAGGAAGGAGAAGAAGGAAGGAAGAAGGAAAAAAGGATGGAAGGAGGAAGGAAGTCCTCGCCCTCCTTGTCAGTCGGGACTGCCACGGAGGCTCCCCATCCCTCTTGTCCCCGGTTTGGGAGGAAAAGCGGGACCTCCGAGGAAGACCAGGCGGGACTGGCTCTTCTCCTCCGCCCGTCTCTGGGGGAAAGGGCTGCCTTCCCGCTCAGCCACGGAAACCCACCCACCGGGCGAGCCTCACTCCCTCGGTCGCAGAGGGACCCCAGCCGGGAAAGCGGCGAAAAGGCGCCCCCGCGCAACCCCGCCCGGCAAGTCCCGCTCTCTCTCGGGGAGAAGTCTGCCGCAGCTGGATCCCAGGCGCGAACTTGGCCACGGAGCTTGGAGAGACCCCCGGGCCACCCAGCCCGACCCAGACCTTCCTTCTTTCCAGGCAGGTTCACGCCGCCCAAGCCTCCACCCGGCGCTTACCTGGCGGCAGGCACAATCCCCAGAAAGTTGTGGCCACGGCAAGGAGCCACATCCTCTTGGAGTCTCTCCCCTCTGCTTCCTCCTCTTCCTCTTCCTCGTCCTGCTCTTGCTCTTCCTCTGCCGCGGAGAGGAGCCGGGCTGGCTTCCTCCCCGCTCCCGCTCCCTCCAGCCTCGCCGGAGTTGAGAGACTGAAAGTCCGGCGGAAGGAAGGGAAGGAAGGCGCCGAGGAGAGAAAAAGGAGAGGAGGGAGGGGAGGGGGGAGGAGGAGGCGGGGAAAGAGACCCAGGGAGAAAGAAGAGGAGGAGGAGGACCCCCTCCCTCCCTCCCTCTCCCCGGGATCACGTGACGCCTCCCTCCTCTCCTCTCCCCTCCCCCCTCCCCTTCCCAAAGGGAAAGAAGAAAGTTCAGAGCAAAGGCGGGATCATGTGTTCAGGAGCGGAGGTTTGCCTCGCTTCCAAAGGGTCCTCAGAAGAGGCGACACAGAGTTCAGTCCTGGAGTGGCACCTGCTCAGGTGGCTCCGTCTCTCCTCCTTGGTTTCGATGGCTGGTTGGGGACAGCGCCCAGTGACTCCTCTAGAGACACTTCGCCCATTCATTCATTCATTCATTCATTCATTCATTCATTCATTCCTTCTTTCCTTCCTTCATCCGTTCGTTCATTCATTCATTCATTCATGCATTCATTCCCCGGATTCCGCCGCCCTTTCCTCTCCCGTGGGCTGCCCTTCTCTTCGGGCGCCTCAGCTCCTCTCCTCCGCCGCCCCAGGGCTGCGTGGCAGGACGAGCCCTTTGGCTTGAAGGGGACTTCTGAGGGGGACAGTCCTCCGCCTCTTCTGAGTCTCCGAGTCTCATCACACTAGAGAAAAAATCCACTTGGTTTCTGCCTGCTGCAGAGTTTTGGGGTTTGCCATTTAGTGAGGCTGTAAGACTCCTCCCTAAACTACAAACTCTAGAATTCTGCAGGAGGCAGAAACCGGATTTTAAGGGGATTTTTTCCTCTAGTGTGATTTTTTTCCGTGTCAGGAGCGACTTGAGAAACTGCAAGTCGCTTCTGGTGTGAGAGAATTGGCCGTCTGCAAGGACGTTGCCCAGGAGACGCCGGGTGTTTTGATGTTTTACCATCCTTCTCTCATGTCCCCGCATGAAGAAGTGGAGCTGAACCTCCAACCTGTGGGTCTTCAGTCCTGCCGGCACGAGGGTTTAACCCACTGCGCCACCGGGGGCTCTCGGGTGAGGAGACGCTTCCGAGGGAGGCGGTGGGCGCTTGGCTTCACCCTCCCCGAGTGTTTTGAGGCGAGTTCGGACTGCGGAGGGCGAGCCAAGCGCAGTCCTCCTCGCTCCTTCTCTCCCTTTCCTCCCTCTCTCCTTCCTCATAGCGGGGACTTGGCCATGCCCCTTGGGTCCCTTTCCTGGCCGGCCCCACCCCCTTGGCCCAGGGGGCAGCAACGCCCCTGAGTCGCCAGAGCCTACCAAGAGCCGAGCTCCGGGTTTGAAGCCCAGCGGGTCCACTCCAGAGGCGCAGAGAGAGAGAGAGAGAGAGAGAGAGAGCGAGCCAGGCGCCATGCCCTCCCATTCTGGGCAAAGGGAGGAGGGGCCACTTTTTCACATTCAGACCAGACCAACTCCGCTTTGAAACCGCATTGGCTCCCACTCCCATGTCGGTCCTGCATGTCCTCTCGCCCTCAGTGGCTGCACCTGCCTTCCTTTGCTTTGGGGAGAGTTTTTTTCCGTGTCAGGAGCGACTTGAGAAACTGGTGTGAGAGAATAGGCCGTCTGCAAGGACGTTGCCCAGGGGACGCCCGGATGTTTGATGTTTTAACATCCTTGTGGGAGGCCCGCGTGTCCCGCGCATGGGAAGCTGGAGCTGACAGGGGGAGCTCACTCAACCCGCTCTCCCCGGATTCGAACCGCTGACCTCTTGGTCACCAATCCATTGGGCCACCGGAGACAGCGACTTTGCGCCTTAAGGATGCGCCACCGGGGACAGCGACTTTTCGCCTTAAGGATGCGCCTAAACCCATCTTGTGGCGATCCATTTTAAGGGTGTCTTGGAAGGACCCTCCCCTGGGGCGCCCACCCCTCCTTGGGGTCGGGAGGGAGACCTCGCCCGGTGGGGGGGGGGGAGGGAGGCAGGGTTGGGTGCACTGCGGAGAAGGCCGGGGATGCTTCCCAGGAGGAAGATAAGCTTGGGATGTCGCGCAACGTCTTTGCACAGCTTCTGGGGTGCCCTCAAGACTCATGGCGACCCCATCACAGGGTTTCCTTGGCCAGGTTGGCTCAGAAGAGGTTCGCCTTGGCTTCCCCATGAGGCCGAGAGAGTGTGACTCGCCCAAGGCTACCAGGGATCATCCCACGGAGGAGGGGGGACTCAGAGCCTGGTCTCCACCCAGCGCTCCAATCAGGATGCCACAGCGGGTGCAAGGCCCACTGGGTGGCCCTGGGCACGGCACACTCTCTCGGCCTCAGAGAGAAACAACACCCCTCCCCCTCCCAGAAAACCTCATGATCTGGTCGCCACAAATCGGAAGCGACTTGAAGGCGCACGGCAAGTGATACTAGTAGGCAGCACACCAGTGGCATGGTCTCCCGTGCGCTTCCAAGGAAGAGCGGGAAAAGGGACCAGGCGTCATTTGAAGGCTGTGGGAAGGGGGTCGCCAGGGACTTGGAGCTCAGTCCCCTGCGTGCTCCTCCTTGCGGGAAACCGGAGCTGATCCGGATCGGGACACAGTCCCTCGCGACATTTCCTCTCCGGTTCTGCTCCTTCCTCTGCTCCGTGGCACTCTTAGCCACGGAACAAGGGACCTATTGCTGCGTTTGGTTTTCTTTCTCGACTGTTGGGCCCTCCCCTCAGTGTCCTGACTCAATGGGCCGCCTTTTGAGTCCCGAGCACGGAGCCAGGGCCCTCCAAGTGGTGTCAACCGGCATTCCTTCTATACCGTAGATGTGGTCTACCTTCACCCTGACCAGGCAGAGCAGCCAGTGAGGAGTCCTCCCAGGGGCTGTGCGCCTCCAAACCCCCGCAAGCCTGCAGTGGGTGTGCTCGGCCTCCCTCCTCCTCGGGCGCGGAGCCAATGGGCTGGGGGGAGGAGACGCCTCCTGAGGCTGGAGAGAAAGGAAGGGCGCCATCTCCGTCCGGTCCTTCTCGCTTGTAACACAGGAGTAACAGCTGCGAGGCCCTCCAGCCAGGACGGGGATGCTGGGGGTTGCAGTCGGACAACATCTGCCCACCGCGCCCCTTGGGACTCCTTCTATCCCTGCGCAAGGAAAGTTCTGAGCGTGCCTTGGACCCCCAGAAGATCCAACCAGTCCATCCTCCAGGAAATAAAGCCTGACTGCTCACTGGAGGGAAGGGTATTAGAGGCCAAGAGGAAGTACTTTGGCCACATCAGGAGAAGACAGGAAAGCTTAGAGAAGACTATTATGCTGGGGGAAATGGAAAGAGAAATGAAGAGGGGCCGACCTAAGGCAAGATGGATGGCATCCTTGAAGGGACTGGCTTGAACTGGAAGGAGCTGGGGGTAGTGACGCCTGACTGGGAGCTCTGGGGTGGGCTGGTCCATGAGGTCACAAAGAAGTCGGAAGCGACTGACTGAACAAATGAACAGCCAAACCCTTGGTCTCCTGCCAGTGGTTGGAGCTCAACATGCAGAGCTTCGCCTTCTTCGCCCCTCAACCCAGGTTGGGAATAAGACCACCCTTTAGGTCAGTGTTTCCCAAACTCTTCTGTTTTTGGACTTCATCGCCCAGAATCCCAATCAGATGAGGCTTCTGAGAGTTGAAGTCCAAAACACCCTGAGGATTAGAGCTTGGGCATTGCTGCTTTAGGTTTTCTTTTTTCCTATCAGGAGAGACTTGAGAAACTGCAAGTTGCTTCTGATGTGAGAAAATTGGCTGTCTGCAAAGATGTTGCCCAGGGGGCGCCCAGATGTTTTGATGTTTTACCATCCTTGTGGGAGGCTTCTCTCATGTCCCCGCATGGGGTGCTAGAGCTGACGGAGGGAGCTCAACCCACTCTCCCCAGATTCAAACCACTGACCTGTCAGTCTTCAGTCCTGCCAGCACAAGGGTTTAACCCAGGCATTCTCAAACTGTGGCCCTCCGGCTGTTTGGGCCTTCAACTCCCAGAATTCGTGACAACTGCACCAGCTTATTAGGGCTTCTGGGAGTGGGAGGCCCAAACAGCTGGAGGGCCACAGTTTGAGAATGCCTAGTTTGGCCCATTGCGCCAGCTGGGGCTCCGCTGCTTTAGGTGAGGATGTAACCCTAGTCCTCCTTCCCACAAACCAGGCTGGGAGGAGCCCTTGTCCAACACAATCTAGAGCAGGCATGGGCAAACTTTGGCCTTCCAGGTATTGTGGATGTCAACTCCCAGGAATCCCAGCCTACTTACTGGCTGTTAGGAATTGTGGGAGTTGTAGCCCAAAACACCTGAAGGGCTGTAGTTTGCCCATGCCCAAGGACTGCCCATTTCCCACCTTAAAGTGGAGAAAAGCCATGATTGGGCAACAGACCAGATCCTTCTTTCAACTGACTATTTAATGCAGTTTCCAACTGGTATTGAAGAAAGTGGTTTCTCTGTGCAGATAATTACATAGGAAATCCTGGAACCAGGTTGAAGCCTGGAGGGTAAGGGCACAAACCACAGAGTGCTACTGCACATTTTTTTTCCTTAGACTTTTTGGGGGGTTAGTTGTCTGTCTGCCACAGTTTAACTAGCTTTGAACTACATTGAATGGTCAGTGGAGGAGAAAGATGTTGTGCCACCAGTGTGTGTAGCTGGGTGAATTTAGGCACCACACTGAATGGCTTTATTCCTCAACTCCCTCCCTCTGCCACCTTTTATAGAGGGCAAGGTGCCACCCACACTGCCCTGGCATTCCCTGTTTTCAGGTGGATCTACACCAGGCACGGGCAAACTTCAGCTCTCCAAGTGCTTTGGACTTCAACTCCCACAATTCCTAACACCTGGTAGGCTGTTAGGAATTATGGAAGTTGATGCTCAAAACACTTGAATGGCTGAAGTTTGCCTATGCCTGATCTACATTGTAGAATGTGTGCAGTTTGATGCCCCTTTAACTGCCATGACTCAATGCTATGGAAACATGGATGTTGTTGCTTCACAAGGTCTTTATCCCCAGGGTTCTGAAACACTGAGGCAGTTAAAGTGGCATCAAACTGCATTCGTTCTACAGTGTATATGCAGCCTTCCCTGGCAGGAAGGAAAGCCCCTTTGCTGACACTGTATATGCAGCCCTCCCTGGCAGGAAGGAAAGCCAGCTACATCTTTCCATTGAAGACGTCTCTTTTTTGGGTCACCATTGGGCTCTGGAGGCAAGAAAGGAGGCTCCCATTTCTCAAGACAGTCACTGCCATCGCCAATGGAGAGCAGCAGTTTGTTACAGAGGAAAAAAAATCCACTTAAAATCCAATTTCTGCCTCCTGCATAATTCTGGGGTTTGTAGTTTAGGGAGGCTGTTAAAGGCTCCTCCCTAAACTACAAACCCCAGAATTCTGCAGGTGGCAGAAACCAGATTTTAAGTGGATTTTTTTCTCTCTAATGTGATGAGGCCCTTAGAGAATCAGGAAAAGGCTCCAAGGGCCATCCAGTGTAACCTCATTCTGCCATTCAGGAAAATACAATCAAAGCACTCCTGACAGATGGTCAACTAGACTCAGTGTTTCCCATCCTTTGGGCCTCCAGGTGTTTTGGACTTCAGCTCCCACAGTTCCTAACAGGTGGTAAGCTGGCTGGGATTTCAGGGAGTTGAAGTCCAAAACACCTGCAGGCCCAAAGGTTGGGATCCACTGCTTTATTTCAAAACCTGCAAATAGGAATACTCCACCATGCTCCGAGGCAGAGAGTTCCATGTCTGAACAGGTCTTACCATCAGGAAGTTCCTCCTAATATTCAGGTGGAATCTCACCTGCAGTTTGAAGCCATTGCTCCATGTCCTAGTCTCTGGGGAGCAGATAAAAAACTGGCTCCTTTTTGACTATGACACCCTTTCAAAAATTGAAACATGGCTGCCATGTCCCTCTCTCAACCTTTTCCAGGCCTAAGCTGCTCTTCGTGGGGCATGGTTTCCAGAGCTTTTACCATGAGGGTTACCCTCCTTGTTGTTTCCCTCTTGGCAGCTAGAACTGCCTCTTCTCCAGCCAGAGAAAATAGAAGCTGTGAAGGATTCCTCTGACAGGCAGCAAAAGTTAAAGGGGCAGGAGACAGTAGTCTAACGTTTTGTGTTTGCAACAGGGAAAGGTGCATTTCTCCCAAGGGTCTGCTCATCAGGAAAGAAAAAAATGAACCCCTTCTTCTTTTTCTGTTACAAGCTTTCCCAAAGAAACAATGTGCTATAAGAGAATTGAGACCTCATTGTTATAGCTGGGGCCTTTCACTCCCGTGGATGGCCTTTACGCAACCAACCTTTGAAAGAAGCACAGGCCTTAAAAGAAAATAAATCAATGAATACATAAAGAGCAATCTTACTTTATGATGGGCCCAGGACTCTACCTCTGCTTTTGTTCTCTGTCTGCACTAATTTCCGGCCTTCCGTTTTGACGCTGGAGTGCTTCGTCTTGCACAAGATAATGTGTGTTGTATGTCTCGAGCGTTTCTATTACAACTCATATACTCGCCCCTGATGGCTTTTTTCCAGCCTCATCTTTCAGAGGGCATTCTTTGCTTTTCATTATTCACCGTCTTGTCTCAAAAGAGAGAGGGAGCAGGCGCTAGAGAGGCTTGAATTAAGCTTAAATTAGTTTTTAGTTGCCATGTAGCAAATTCATTTGACTATCTGCCCTTTTATTAATCGTGGAGCAAACTTAAGGCTCCTTGGTTTGAGAAAGGAAATGGCTGGCAAATCATTACCCACATTTTCGTTGCAGCTAATTTCCTTTCTGAAGAAATGTTGCTGTATTTCTTGGCACTTATATTTTTACACAAAACGGGAAAGATGGTTCTTAACAATCCATTTCCAAGTCGTTTTTTGAAATCTTTTGACAAAATGAGTGCCTATTCGCTGCTGAATATGTATAAGTTGATAGGGATATATTTCAATGTTTTGATAACCAGATGTGATACGACTTTTATTCTGAAATGAATTCCAAAAATAAGCTTCATCAAAGTCAGAGACAATGAAATACCAACCTGGCGGTACGTATATTTAAAACAACATGAAATGTAACATTGCACAAAAGTATTGACAATGTAACACTGGTTGTACGACACCATTCTGGGGGAGATGTGCATTCAGGGAATTAACCGACATACACTACAAAGCAGCTACCTCAGGGATGGGCAAACTTGGGCCCTCCAGATGTTTTGGACTTCAACTCCCACCATTCGTAACAGCCTCGGGCCCCTTCCTTCCCCCCCTCAGCCGCTGGGCAAACGTGAGCCCTCCAGGTGTTTTGGACTTCAACTCCCACCGTTTCTAACAGCCTCAGGCTGAGAGGGAAAAGGAAAGGGTCAGAGGCTGTTAGGAATGGTGGGAGTTAAAGTCCAAAACATCTGGAGGACCCAAGTTTGCCTATCCCTGGCCTAGAAGTATCCCAAATATAGCTAGCTTATAGGCTGCTGTACAAAAGTTGTTATAAATACTCCACATCTAGAAAAAATACATCCCACCCTTGAAATAGACTTTCCCCTTATATATAAATGGTCTTCGTATGGAAAAACCCCTCCACAAATCTGTTTGCTAGCACCAGTCATTTTGTATTAAAAAATCTTACATGTGTAAATTACAAATCTAAATGGCATTTTAGTCCCTGATTCCCAGAATTATAGTAAAAGCTGTAAGAGTTGAATAAACACCGCAGGTATTTGTGATAGAAGGCTACAGGTAGAAGATAATCATAAGATGTCTTTGAAGTTTTGAACCAATAACATGAATCAAAACATAAGCTCACTGAGAATTGCGATTTCAAAATTGCACTAGACCTCATCACACTAGAGACTGAATCCACTTTAAATCAAGTTTCTGCCTCCTGCAGTATTCTTGGGTTTGTAGTTTAGGGAGGAATCTTTAACAGCCTCCCTAAACTACAAACCCCAGAATTCTGCAGGAGGCAGAAACCGGATTTAAAGTGGATTCATTCTCTAGTGTGATGAAGATAATGATATTTTTTTTCCAAGTCTGTTGTACAAAGTGGTCCAATGAAATTCCAGCATAGACAATTTGGCAAGTTCAAATTTGCATGAAAAACATCATTTCTACATACAGTTTTAAGACTAAAAAGTTTATAAATCTTTATTTTACAACAAAAGATCACTAATTTTTCGTTAATATGAACATCAATGTTTACAATTAGTAAACTGCCATTTCAAGAGCATGGCACCAATTAGTATTATTTATTGCTGTCACATTTGTTTCTACAAATATAATTTTCTTTCCCCCGACCCCCAAAGAACATTTTTACAACTTCTGTACAAATATTCATAAAAGTGCAAAATTAAGACTATATATTTTTTAAAGTAACCAGAGTTATTGTAATTATCAAAGTCTCCGTCTATTACAGTGGTTCTCAACCTGCGGGTCCCAGGTGTCTTGGCCTACAACTCCCAGAAATCCCAGCCAGTTTATCAGCTGGGAGTTGAAGGCCAAAACATCTGGAGACTCACAGATTGAGAACCACTGGTCTATTACAATGCTGCTTACTTTCTCTTTATTGCTCTATATGAATATATCTAGATATATCATATTATGAGTCTTAGCAACTTGCTTGGAATATTTTGAATGGCTCTTCCTTTTCCGTTATTTACTATCTTGTTCCTTAAGTGCTCCATTCAATGTCCTCTTGCACTGGTGAATGTCTCTTTATACATCGTCGGAGCCTTGTCTTGCAGAGGAGGAGAAGCTATCATATGAAGAGTTACTTGGCGATCCCAAATGGTTTGCACCATACCTATCAGAACTATTTAGAGAAATTTCTGCATTCTCCCCACTTTCTTCTTCTTTTTCCTCTTCAACCACGTGCAGACGGCTCTTCTCTTTTTCCAAGAAAATGCTTCTGCTGCTGTTAAATGTGCCGAGAGACTCCAGGGAAATTTTAAGACAACCTCTTCCCAGAATCTTTCGCTTTTCTCCTCAGGTTGCTTCAATTTCTGAAACAAATTAGAGCAAGAAATTAGAAAAGACAGTTCTGGTAAAAAAAAACTAAATGAAAACAAAAGTTATCTGAACTATAAATAGTTCATTATGACACGATCACCGGTAACTGTAGAGAAGAAACAGATAGTTAAATACTTTGGGGCTTTATCCCCCGCTAAAATTAAATGCAATAATAAAGTCCATTTTAGGATAAATCACAGCTTTAATGGTTCTGCTCAGACAAATAGGACTCCATTTGCAAAACAGTTAAGTGCCATTTACATTTTAAGCAGCTGATATTGGCATCTGTATGTGTGAAGTATCTCCCACATATAATTTACATTTTCCATTCTTCTTCGGGAATGATTTTTAAGGATAACTGGATATTCATCAAAGGCTGATTATTTATTTCGCGTGGGCTTCACCCCATCTTGTCTCGAGAACTTAGAGACAAGATGGTGTGCAGCCACAATGCTTGTACTGTATACTAGATAATAGAATATGTACCTATTAAAAATAGGTGTGTTTGAAGCAGGCATAGACAACTTTGGCCCTCCAGGGGTTTTGGACTTCAACTCCAACAATTCCTAACAGCCGGTAGGCCATTAGGAATTGTGGGAGTTGACGTCCAAAACCCCTGGAGGACCGAAGTTTGCCCATGTCTGGTTTAAACCCTGTCAAATTTAGTTTTGCATGCAGGCTACAGACCAAATTCCATTGAGTTCAATGGAATGGATCAAAACTGAAAGGCACAGGGCTTATAGCTGCCTTGACCTAGTTGTTTCTGCTTAATGAAGGCAATTCTATGCGCTTTCGCTTGCACCTTTCCATTGCGTAGCCTGAGCCAGTCACATGGTTTCTCCAACTCCCTGAAGCCTTTTTCAGAGTTGAGGAAGGAGGTCGCTGCTATGAGGAGAAAAGGGCTGGAAAGTCTACTTAAGATAGTTGGACACACTCAGTTCAATAAATCTTACAAGCATTAATTTTTTGTACATACTTTCTGTTCTAATAAAACCAGATTTTAACCTCCTGCTGTTTAAAATGCTGATGTCCCCCCAATGGCACTTTTATCTTTTATGAAAGCCAAAGTAGGCTACTGGTCTGCTCTATAAGTTTGAGCAAAAAATAGTGGAATAACAAATATTTACACATAATGAGAATGGCACTCTATATATCTATTGCTGGCAGAAATGAAATAACTTCTGCCATCTAATTAATGTGTAGGCTGGTGTATTATCTGTTTTAATGGCTTCTTTATTTAGAACTTTAGTAAACAACTTGGAATATGGTAGAGAGTAGAAAGTGTTCAGCATATATTTGCTTTCAGCTTCTTCGTCAAAGACACTCTCTGGATTCTACATCAGAATGACTGATGTGTAATGTTCTTGACACATAGCACTATGCTACTTACACTCTCCAGAAAGCAACTTTCTGGTCCTAGTGGCACTGCTATATACTAGCTGGAGTGGTTGATTAAGGTATAGGGAGATGTGTTAGGAAACCATCGTGCAATTTCATTTCCTCTTCCCCTGGCTGCAAAACTGCACCTGAGAGGGCACTGTTTGGTTCTGGGTTGTTGTGAGTTTTTCAGGCTATATGGCCATGTTCTAGAAGCATTCTCTCCTGATGTTTTGCCTGCATCTATGCCAAACATCTTCAGAGATTGTGAGGTCTCACAAAAACCTACAACAACTCAGTGATTCCAGCCATGAAAGCCTTAGATAATACTGCTTGGTTCAGTTCTCCCCATCTGATGTTAGCAAATGACTGTGACAGTGCCCTGGAGCTTGAAAGAGTATTTGGACGTTGCTTGAGGGGCCAGTGAAGAGCTCCTTGGCCATGTTACCCCCACTCCTACATGCATATAATTCTGAGGTGTGTGTGTGTGTGTGTATATATATATATGTAACATGATTTCAACCAGTGTATTTTAATAACTCATAGTAGTATTTGATTGTAAAATTCGAACAGGACTAAAGAACAAGATAGGCATTTTACAACACTGCCTATGGGCCTGGTATTCTGTTAGTAGCATACATATGCATAAGTCATGCTATACGTGCAGGGTAAACTACCTGCCATAACGCAACAAGTATATTCTGCTGATAGTGGCGGAAGTGGAGTTACACATACAGCAATATTAAACATTGTGATTATGCACTGTACATTTTGATTACACATTGCATATTGTGCATTGGCACCCACCCATTGCCATTTGTTGACATTCTGTATAGGGGTTGCATAGTTCTGATGCAAAATACATGCAGATATTTACAGTTGATGGGATGTTGGATGCAACTAGAGAGTGTTCCTGACTTTGAGTCATCTGCCATGCAGTATTTCTTTTTTTTTTTAGAAAACAAAAACATAATCAACACAAACTGCACTGATCATAAAAACTGTCCCAACAAATCTACTGCAGTTTGCCTTTAGGGTGCTTTCTTAGCTCACATATGCAATGCAATGGGACAAAAACAATTACTCCCCCTGCCATTTTGTGGTTGAATTGTCATGTAAAAAAGCACATCAGACAGCATTCTTCCACGACTAAGCAATGAAACAAATGGAGAGGTATGGCATGGAAGAATTCTACTAAAACCCAAGTGTGGCTGAAAGAGCAAACCTGTGGCCTCTGCTCTTGGAGTATTTATTTATTTATTTATTTACGGCGCTTATATGCCGCCCTTCTCACCCCGAAGGGGACTCAGAGTGGCTTACAATATATATTTTCATACAATATATTATATTATTAGCAAAGTACAATATCAGTATATATTACTATATTGCACTATACCATTATATTGTAATATTATTAGTAATATTACATGTAATTAAATATATAATTATAATTATAATATTGAATTATTATTACTAGTATTATATTGTATTACATTATAATATTATAAATATTATATGTATATACAATATACTATATTATATTATTAGTAAAGACAAGATGGAAATGTCTTCTGCTCCCCTCTGTCTTCTCTCTGGCCAGAGTAGCCGTTGGTGCCAGAAGGGGGAGGGGCCTCTCAAGTGATGATATAGGCAGAAGACAAGATGGCAGTGTCTGAAACTTCAGAGATTTTGCACTCTCACAAACCTCCTGGGGTTCAGAAACAGGAGAAGAGAGATTCCCGGTCACTTGAAAACTGGCTGTCTTTCAGGACATGTAGACTATGGACCTCACCACAAACTGGGAGACAGCAGAGCTATCCATCGGGCACTGGGGAAATCCGTTGAGCAGCAGGGGAAACCGTTGTCTCATGGCCCTCATCACTGCCTTCCCCATCTCATGGGGGAAACGGTTGCTCCCCAGCTTCTCCCCATGCTGTCCTTGGCTTACCTAATGAGAACATGGTCTCTGGGCGCTTCCAGGACAGAGTAAGGACAGAGACCTGCCAGAAGTAGCCCTGCATCGTGTGATGGGCTCCAGCAGGGTCCATCCTGGAAGCATCCTATGGCGGAGCTCAAGCCTCATGTGATGAGGTCCTAAGTCGAGTAGTGTTTAATAGTTGATCTAACAATTAATGAGCAGCTACTTGAACTCAGAAGTAGGCACCCACTCTAGACATACGTGCAAGCAGTGCAAGAAAAATAGAATACAAATGTGTTAGTGCTGCAATGCTAAGCTATCTTAGCTTTCCTTGAAGGAAGACCAATACCTGGCAAGCAGCTTGGTACACCACTGGAAGCCCAGCTTAGTTGCAGTGTGGTCAGTCACAATGCAAGTTGAACTATACTTCCATACTAAATGAAATGTGGTGGGACATTTTGTTCAATCAATGTAGAACTAATGGAAGATGTGCTAGCCAAAGACCTAACATTTATTGGCACTATCTGACAAAATATGCCATTACTGCCCTCAAATCCCCATCAATTAGCATTACAGATGCACAAGACAGGAAATCTATCAGAAAGCAAACCACACTTTGGAAATTTGCTTACAGTGACCACTGTAATATCCAAGTGGTTAGCTTTAGTATGGCTGGCACAGAAAACAGCTCTTTACAGGGAGACATTTACCACAACAGGAATCCTTTTGGGTTTTTTGTGTCAGAAACTACCCCATGATACTATTAATAAAGATAACCATTGTACTATAATGTTATAAAAATGACTATCTCTATGCCAATGTATGAATTTTCGGGTTCCTACCAAGATTTATTTTTTAGCCAAGACTAACAGTGGTTATTTTTAGGGCACATGTTAATAACATGTTTCTTCTTTTTGCAGAAAAGGAAATCTGGTAGGTACTTGAAACAAAATGGGCAATTTTTTTCTGGCCCTGAATGTTTGGGTATTCATTCTAAATTAGGGCTGGGCAAAGTATGACTAGAGTCGATAATAGATAGCAATTTCCATCAACCTTAGTCAGTGTGTCCAGTGGTGGGAAACATTGGGAGTTGTAGTCCAATGTTGGGGTAGCTGCACATCTAACCAGTTTGATCCCCACAAACTCTCTTTGTGGACATAGGGCATTGTTATCTAGTGTAATACAAGGGATAGGGAGCCCCCGGTGGCACAGTGAGTTAAACTGCTGAGCTGCTGAGCTTGTTGACCGAAAGGTCGCAGATTTGAATTCGGGGAGTGGCGTGAGCTTCTGCTGTCAGCCCCAGCTTCCGCCAACCTAGCAGTTCGAAAACATACAAATGTGAGTAGATCAATAGGTACCGCTCTGGCAGGAAGGTAACAGCGCTCCATGTAGTCATGCTGGCCACATGTCGACTCTTTGGCTTAGAAATGGAAATGAGCACCACACCCTAGAGTCGGACATGACTGAACTTAATGCCAGGGGAAAACCTTTACCTTTACCTAATACAAGGGATGCCCCATGGGGTCAGAATATACAGTACAACCCACTCAATGCAAGTTTTTCTTTAAACAAATCTATTGGATATGAAGTAAAATGGCATTCAAGATAATGTGGGAATTAATGAAATTTGCTAGAATGTAATTCTGCATTTTGCATGTGTAAGCCTATTGAACTAAAATTCTTTCCAATAGAGATGAA